CCCCAAAACCCCAAAACCCCAAAACCCCACGCTAAAATATTATTTTGAACTTATTAACAATGCAGAATAAGGAGCTTAGATTTACAGGTTAGACTCAAAATTGGTACTGGTTGTCTCAGGACTTTTTACTCTCATTCTACTGCTTCATACTTTACTTGCAGTGAAAATATTCTAAATAAGGAGGATTAAGAAGCAACTCAGAAAAATAGTAAAAATACAAAATCTTTCTTACCCTTTCACGAATCAATGAATCACTCTTGATAAAGCTCAATTTAGTATTTCTTGACCTTGGAACCATCTAAACTCTCATAAAACTCCTTTCTTACCCTCCCGGATCCTTTCTTACACCGATACTTCTTGGGTCCTATAAATTACCAAATGGGGTTACTTCAGGTACTACTATATTTTGACCTCCTCTCTTTCACCGTAGCCAATCTTTTTGGGACAGCCTTCTCCTGAAGGCTATCCAGAATATCAAAAAGTTCCTTTAACACTGGATATCTCTTTTCTAAAGAAAAGTTAGCTTGCCACAAGTCTAAAGCTAATTTGTTTAACGATGACAGACTGTAAGAGGCCGGAAATAAAACAACCTTCTTGGTGAAGTTTAATGGCATGCAATGTAAGGATAAGAATAAACTAAAATTACCGAATTGGTGAAAGCACCATTTTAGCTTTGTATTAGTAGGGGCAGTGTACGCAAAAGACTTTTAGAGAGGGGCTTTAAGATGGGTGTGAAGGAATTACCACCTTAGTTTTTAACAATATTAGACTAAGCCAGGAAGTAGGGGATCGAAGAGAGAGTAGAGGAATGATATGATATTTTAAAATAAGAGCTTCAGGAATTTTGATATGAATTTAATTTTTAGATTCATGGATTTTGATAATAATGTTTTAAATCTCCTATTTGTGAATAAAGTTGGGAAGGAGATAGTCAGTAGATATCCCTTAAGTACTATAATGTTGGGTGCGTTTTTGTTAGTAAGAAGTATAAATTTACCTTTATGATATCCTGGGCGTTTATATTCAATCTTTTTCCTTTGAGGTTTATTTAAATGTAATCCTACATAAATATGGTAAAAGACTTCATTTAGTTACTAACCTCTTCATTTTAATGGTCTTTTTAGTCTTTTGCTTGTGTGGTGTGATTTTTATTAAGGAGTCTCCAAGAGAGATAGGTTTTTGGACCTCTGACGGAATAAAGGAGATTGCCTTTTTAAAATCTAAAGTATCGTTAACTAAATATGTTAAACCACAAAAATAGTGTCTTACTTCGAGTATTTCGCTCTGATTTATCTACGCTCAGGTGTCTTCTCTTTTTCCTAAAGAGTGAGCAAAGAGGGAGATACCTTAGTTCTCTTGCCTGGTCATTTTCAAGAGTTAATTTGGCGAAATTCTTATAGTACTCATTTGTTCTTTTCCGAAGATCTGTAGAACTAAAGACTACATCTCTTCTTTCGAGTGGAGGAGGTGTGAAGCAAGTAGGTATTTTCCTTGAAGCGGGTGATTTCTTTGAGTTCAACCTCAAGAGTCTTGTTTGGGCTCTTATACTGACATTCCCAGAGGGATGAAAAATACTTTTCTTCGGCTTTCGAAAGCACAAGCCCTGAATGGAGTTCTCAATTTCAGTATTGATCTTATTTATCAGTATTTTCATGGCGTCTTATCTTTCTGCCAGTAGTGAAGCTTTGGAGGGCTCTTTCAAATTTAATCTTCTCAATGTCATAATTCCTAAGAAAGTGTTTGAAACACTTCTCTGATTCTTCAGATTTAGCATGGACAAAGTTCAGGTAGAGGTCCTATAAATGAGATTCATGAGTATTTCTTGGGGATTTCATACTTTTTCCATTGGGATTTCTTGGTAATCTATGAATAAGGTAAGTAATCAGTTACTCTTGGCTAATTCTAAGTAGAACTCTCTTTGGGAGCTCTCTGCGTCTTTGGAAAACCTCATTGGCAGATGAGTAAAATTTCCATTGCTTCATTCAAGTTGGGAAAGCTCTTTAAGTTGATTAAAAGAGGGCTTCAGGATTTTTCTATAAGAATTCATATTCTGGGAGATGTTCAAATTTCCACCAAAGAGAGGAGAAAAGATAGCTCCAAAGGATGAGCATGCTAACAAATTATCCTCAAAATACCGATACAAAATCTCAAAGAGAGGATTCACAGTTTTTGTAGTGCTAATTTTGCCTTCTTCATTAAGTAGCTTCTTTATTCCCAAAAATTCCGAAAAGAAAACAAACCTAAAGCCGCAAGCATACCTTATTTCTTTGAGAGGAGCCTCTCTAGAGGGTCACCTACTTCCATTGACGGTGTTAAGTCTATCTTCAGTGCTGAGTAACAAATTCTTCATTTGTTTTTATTACTTAATTATATGAGATTCAGCAAACTAGCAGGCTGAAGGGGTTTTGGGGTTTTGGGGTTTTGGGGTTTTGGGG